GTGTGTGGTGTTTAATTTACATTTTGTTGTTCTTTGTTTTTTTTATTCAAGTGCATTTTTTGTTAGAGACTGAGAGTCCACTTTGTTAACCAATCTTTTAAAAATTAAAGTTTATTGATTTATTGCACTTACATATTACGCTTTTATAATTATTAGTTGTAAAATGGTCACCAGGCAATATTATCGCATATTGCAATAATTTTTAAGACAATTAATCGCCCAGCAAAATTTGTTATTGTGACAGGCCTATCTGTTGTTTTGGTCCTGAAGCTGTACGTTAAGTCATGTCCAGCCATCTGTTTTGATTTTCCTTAAGAGTTTTTTCTTCAGCTGGGAAAGGCCGCACGTCATGTATGGCCAACTTTTAGACTGGCTTCGATACTTGGTGGCCTGGCAGCCCGTCATCATAGGGTTTGTCCAAGGTGTCAACTACATCCTGGGTCTGGAGTGACGTGGACTGAGATGCCAYCCAAACAAGATATGCACTGGCTCAAAGGACTCTGAGCCTGACATTAAAACAAAACAAAAAAACACCAACAAAAGTGTCTATACTTTTTTTTGTAAATATTTATAGGCACATCTCTGTATTTACAGATTCTTTGGATTTTATTAGTATTCTGATTCTGGATGTCCGTTTCCCAAGGTTTGCTCCCCACACAGCGTCACACCTCGGTGATCTGATTTGTGCATCTTCTGGAATAGTAAAACGATTCTTATTGTCTTTAGAGGTGCTTTTTTTCTTATGTCATAAATATCTGTCAAAACGTAAGTGTCATGCTGGAGTTTGTCATATTTATGTCACTTGTGAGTCATAAATCTTAAATGGAAACCAGCATAAATCACTGCTTCCTCCAAAAAAAAAAAAAAAAAAGAGAAAACTCTGGGATGTTTTCTGTAGTCATTTAGCAACGAGTTATTTTAATGTTATCCCTTTATTTTGTTCCGTATCTTGAACTGTAAGTTGCACAAGTGTCTTAAYAATTGACAGCCATATCTTGTGACTGGAACATATGTCATACACTTGTTATGACATTATTCAAAAAAATACATATTTATCCCTACAAACTAACCAAATGGCATATTGTTTTGACTCTTCAAACCTTTGTTTGTTAGCTTTTGAATGGCATTAAGTCTTATTGTTGGGTATCACTGGAATTGGCCATAGGCAAAGAAAAAGATGGCAACAATAATAAAGTTTTAAAAGAATTGTTCTGAATTTTTTGCAGTTTAAATTCTGGATAAGAGTAAAAAAAMCATAAAACATGACTGAATCATTTGAGTCAAAGATGCTGCATGGTGATGGTTGATCTTTTATTTATAGAAYTAACACCGTAAAAGCTTCAAATGTTCATTTTTATGGGTTGCACTCGTTTCTTTAAACCCATTTCCCGGCTCAAACAGTAACCATGTCGTGTAGAACCTGATYAGAGTCTTTGAACTGTTTCAAACCAGAACATCAAATAAATGTCAACATGGTTTAGGGGGGTTTGGTGTGCGGTTCCAGCATTTGAAAACCCAAGACCGCTGAGTGACAAGAAAACAAACCTGAAGAAACTTTTTGAATTAACTGTAAATGAGTCAGAACATGACTGGAGTGTGATGCTGACCTGAAGGAAAATATGAGAGGAAATTCCCAGAAAGTGAGTGGGCGAAAGGGGGAAGTAGGCACGTCTGTTTTGTGTATATATAGTTACAATAAGTGACGGTCAGTAGWCGATCAGTGAAGGAATCATGAAGCTGCTGTCTGTGATCAAAGGTAAACAACATGAAACCAGTCTCTCTCTCTGTGTTTTTGTGCCTGCTTTAATCATTTCTTCTTTTTAAACAGCATTTGGGTGTCTGTGTGCACTGCTTGCAGATGGATTTCCAGGTACCAATCATTTTTTTAATGTATAAATATGGGAGCCAAATTCACTTAAATGTTGTTTGATTGGATCRCCAAACTGTGCAGTTTCAGAGTACGACTCTCCAAAGATCATTGGACCAGTTCGCCATCAAATAAAAGCTCAACCAGGTAACACTTGGTCATTAATTCTACAATTAAACATCAGTGACCCATCACTGCAGGATTGAGAASAGTGGTTTGTCTAGAAATTGGCAACTGAATGAATAAATGTCTTAAGGGTTTAAATGAACTGAAATATAATTTTTTTGAAAACCCCTTTTTTAGCAATACAAAAAACATGATTTTGAGGGGAAAAAGCCTCAAATTTTGGTTTTCAGAAAGCCAACAAAGCTTTTTTTTCTTTCCAGCTTGTAAATCTTAAAATCCAAACAATTTTTCAAAGTTTCCTCTTTATAATGACATTAAACATTTCTTATTAAAACCTGATTAGGACAAATCAATGCATATCTCTGGAACTGATGATCAAAATGCAGGAATGTGAAAATGTGCCGAGGTCATTTCRACCTGATTTGACTCAGTTTGATGTGATGGATCACACATGAAGTCAATTTTGAACATGTTTTATCTGCAGGTGAGCAGCTGCTGCTTCACTGCGACGCTCTTCCAAACTGCGATGACGACGAAGCTCTCATCTACTGGCTCGTCAACGGCGTCTTCCCCGAGGAAACTCTCAGCCACGACAGAATAGTGGAAACAGACGAGTAAGCAGTACTTCATCATAGGACCTAAAACAAATATTTTTCACTGGTTCTGCAGTGATGATCATCAGTGTGTTCTTGTTTTAGATCATCTTTAATGGAGGGSTCGATCCTGCAGAGGAGTTTGTTGTTGAAAAACGTGACGAAGGAGGACTTCGACTCCACTTTCAGCTGTGTTGTGACGAACGCAGTGGGAAAGGCACAGAAGTACATAAAATTAGCAAGATCAAGAAAGTGTAATAACTGACATCTAAAGAAAAAAAGACAGATCCCTTTTATGCTGTTTTATTTTGCACAGTCTTTAAAAACTTTGTTGCACTTTTCAATGTTTATAGGTGAGATGTAAATAACCTGAGCCATGTTTCAGCTGTGACTTCTTTAGTCACACAGCTGTCTTTACTTGTAAAATGTCATTTTGTTGCCACACAAAGCTGAATATACAGAATACTGTAACAATAATTGTCAATGTCTATTTTTACTCCTGTCTCATGTGTTTAATACATGTGTCAAATATTTTTTAAACTTGGGATCAAATGACAAATYACTAAAGGTTCAAGAATGAGTCAGTAATTTTATTTCTTCATTCTGAAACGGGTAGTTTAGTCAGTGTTTGTAATCTAGAAGTTGATGCGTGCAGCTTTAATGCTGTCATTACTCAGCAGGTTTAGCCTGTGCGTGGTTCTGCATCCGCACTACTTCTGATCTTACAACCTCAGGATGRAGTTTACATGCTGCTGCCACTTAGAGGCAGAACTAAAAAAAACAAACATTGAGGTAACACTTTATACTACACCTGCCTTATTTAATCACTAATAAATGGTTAGTTAACCTTGAAAATAATAAGGATGATTAACAAATGTATTTATGCATTACCCATAAAGGTTAATTACTTCCAACATACTCATGAATTAACCATACTGTAAATGTAAGTGAATAATAAATGCACTTTCACACCATGTGTACTATTAAGTGCTTTTAAAGTTTTTTGTAAACCATTTTTAAAGTGAAGACTTTACTTTTTTAAGTAATTATATGGGAATTTACATACATATACACACAGTATATAGAATAGTTACTGTATTTATTCATGTATAATATAATCTCGAGTATAATATGATCATTTTTTGAGATTAAAAAGCATAAAAAAATCGAATCATTAATAACTCACGTATAATCTCCCTCCCCATGGATGATTTTTAGGGTTAAATTTCTAGCATTATACATGAATAAATACAGTAATTCATGAGTTTATATGCATGAATTAATAATAGGTATGTTGGTTTTGAAAGTAATCAGCCCTTAAAGCATTAATGTGTTAAGTAAGAACCATCCTTAATTTATGATGTTTTCAAGTTAACTATTTATTAATGATTAAATGAAGATTAATAAGTTGTAGATTTTATTGTGTTGCCAAATTTGAGATGTGGGACAAAATACATTGTTGATCAGACTTATTGTCAACCTTCTTTGATTGATAAGAAACTTGTTCTGCTGTCAGATATCTACATACGAAAGGTTAAAATAAGACCCCCCTGCTCCGAGTGTTACAGCTCTGCAGCTTTTTCTGCAAGCATTAACATAATGAGGGAAATGTGACTGAAAATTAAGCAGCCAAAAGAAGATAAAAGCTGAAAATTGTCAAACAGCATTAACTAATGGCAAGTTATAAAGTTCAGAGATTAGTTCTGCACTTTTGGTTTTTATAATTAGGCAGATTTTATTTTATTTTTTTTCAAAATGGAAATGTAAGAATTATTGTAGAGTTGCAATATTGTGTAATATTATGGGACATGTTTGTCATATTGTCTTTTTTTTTTTTTTTTTTTGGCCAGGACCAATTACTAGATTCAAGGCGTACCACAGTTGTAAAAAGCTGTTTTAACAAGACCAACAAATTTTCCCATTAAGAATTATATTCTTAAGATTTAAATACCTTTTTATACCTTCTCCCTCAGTTATCACACCATCATCAGTCTGAGCTAGTTTTTGAWTCACATCGTGTCCGTTTAGTGTTAATTCAGTTCTTCCTTGACCACACATGGATAAACTCCAATCTCAGAGATTCTCTGCATTACTTGTCCGTACACGAGTTTGTCGTCTTACACAGCAAGACGTATTTAAAACAAGTCAGGAGTCTCACACACCCAACTCTTCCAGGCATCGCTGCAAGTTGCTGCTCCTGTTAGGATTCAGATTGTCCTTCATCCTCTTTCTGAKGAGAGAAGCAGCATCTTCGGTCAAGTTTTCCACCTTGGCAGAAGACTTGGAAAAAGGCCGAAGCAGTTCTTGGTTGGTTTTGTGAGTCATCCCAAACAAGAAGCGTACAAAAAGGTCCAGCCGGCCGTCATCATGTTGCAGGCTTCTGTCCACAGCGGCCTTATGCAGGTCCATGATTTTGTGTCCTTTAAAGATCCTGAATTTGGTTTTCACCTGATCTAAAACGTTCTTGTCCTGGTTTCTGAAGGTGAGGAAAGCGTAAAGAGCAGCCAAGTACTCCTGCAAGGTGGGGTGGATAAAACCCACGACCTTCTCGTAGTACAACACGACCGGCGAAACGACATATTCTGTGCAGAGGCCACTCAGAACCACTGCTTCTGAATCATTAATTTCTGGCCACTCTGTCTTGAGGATCTGGAACTTGCCTTGTTCCAGCATGGTCAAGGCCTGGCTTCCTAGTTTCATGAGAAACTCCTTTTCTTCATCTGGTTTGAGAGCCGGACTTCGAAATTGCCGAAGATGCCGGAGCGCGAGCAGCAGCTTTGTGTACATGTAGGTGATGCTTCTGGGTGGTTCTGACTGGGCTCCCTTCTCTGTAAAAACGCTCTGCCACTCGTCAGCCACCAACGAGCAGAACAGGGGGAGGTGGCACATGATGTAGAGGGTTTTGGAAGACTTGACGTACTCAATAACTYGAGCCGCTTCATTTGGGTCTTTAAACCTCTTCCTGAAGAACTCGTCCTTCTCGGGGTCACAGAAACCTTGCACTTCTATCACATTGTAGTGCGTGTCCCACGGGATGCAGGGCTTGACCAGTGGCCGGGACGTGAACAACAACAAGGGGTGGTGGAGCAGCCGACCTCGGAGGAGGTTAACCACGATGGCGTTCAGGGATGCAGAGTCTTGGGGGTCAGAATGGATCTCTACACTTGAAAAGTCAATGTTGCCGTTGTACTCATCTAAACCATCAAAGATGAACATCATTTGGCAGTCGTAGCATTTAAAATCTTCATCGTTTAACTTCTTTGTTTCTGGATAGAGAGTGTGTATGATTTCCACCAGAGAAATCTTTGAGCTCTCAAACTGTTTGAGCTCTCTGAATGACACGGGAAACACGAAGGACAAGTCCTTGTGAGAGCGCTCCTCGACCCAGTCCAGGACTATCTTCCTGACCAGCATGGACTTCCCCGATCCTGCCACTCCAGTGAGCAGCGTCAGTTTTATGTACGATTCCTCCACGCTCTCAGAAGATAAAATGTCCGCGCTAGTTATCTTCGCCCCCTGTTTCTGCCTGCTTTTCAGTTTTTCTATGCTCATAATCTCATGCTCGATATTTGGGCCATTATCACCCACTGATAAAATGTGGAGATCCGTGTAGACGTCATCAAAGGGCATTTTCTGTTCCGTCATGGAGAAACCTTCATATATTTTACCATATTTCTCTCTCAGAGTTTGACTTAATTCATAACGTACCGCATCTGCAAAAAAAAAAAGAAATGTATTATGAAGTGTCCTACTGAGAATACAGAGTATACTTTTATGAGTAAAGAGAGCAGATGTACTTCTGGTGCACATGTCCTGGAGATGGTCAACCTCCTTCTTATTATTCATCTTGGCGAGAATAGTTTTGGTGATCTGCACAGAAACTTCAAGGCTGAAGCACTCAAGCAGTCGGTCTACCAGRTCCACTTGATCCATGCTGTGGGAGGAGCTGAAATGCTGCGGGTARTAAGTCCACAGCATCCCCTTGAACGCCCTGAATTCGACCTTYGACAGCTTTTTCAGAGTTTCACATATAGCCTAGATTTAAAGGAATAATTACATTTAGTGATGCCACTCTCATCTAGCCCATATAATTTAACTTTTGGGGCATCAGTCGATAGAATCGAGCATAAACTGACCTGGAAAGTGAATTTCACAGTCAAAGATGGATGCTTGATCTCATCTGGCTCTTGGATTAATTTCAGCTTCTCAGGCTCGGTTTCTTCGTCTCTGTCCTTAACTCTGATGAGAACAAAACAATTTTACTACATCTTGTTTACCGTTCAGGCACACACTGTTGAAGTGCCTGTGATAGGAATGTGCGATATGGCAAAAAATTCATATCACGATATACATTATGATGAACGGCGGTAACGATATATATCACGATATAAAACTTCTAATAGAAAATAAATAAATCACACATTGAGTGAAATAAATATGAATGGGTAAAAAAAATTTAGACCTTAAAATCTCCTTTTTTAAGGGACACTTTAAAGTCTCCCATAAAAATCAAAATTTAAGGGAGATTTACCTGGTTAAATCATATATACATTAAAGTTATGTGTGTGTGTGT